CAGGCAAAACACTCTACCACTGAGCCACAGCCCCAAATCCATATGACTTCCTTCCTGAGGAGTGGACACAGTGGGCATAGGCATTGAGCTGGATGAAGAGTAAAAGCCATAGACAGCCCAGGAGTGGTGCAAAAGCCTGAACGCCCTTCTCCACAGAGAAGATTTGTGCTTTATCTCACAGCTCGTCTGTCTTTGGACAGGTTTCACTGACTGGAATATACCTGGGGACTGGGTAGGCGGTACGGTGCTTTCTACCCATCCCTTGTGTAGAGGCATGCAAGCGTCCTCTAGTGTCCTGGAAGAGAGTACAATCTGTATCAGCTGGCATACTGTCATGGGTAAGAGGGAGCCCAACACCATCAGCAGGGAGTGTCTACTGGCCTTCTTCCCAAGTGAGGGTGAACTGGCTAGTCTTGCAGGTCCAGTTTCACATGGATGCTAAACCAACATTAGTACAGAACAAACAGCAGGTGTGGAGCTCAGGGGGCATGACACACACCCGCAGAAGCAGGTACTGCTAGGCACTGTGTCACAGATAAGAAACATCGATACGTTGACTCCCTATAACTTACGTCCATTTTCCAAGTTCTTCACTTTGACTTTTTCTTATTGACCAAATGAGCCATAGAAGTTTCCATGAGCAGGTTGCAAAACCACCACCTTTCTAAATGTTTCCTCCAAACTCAGAGTGCCCACCCGGCAGCTCCATCTGCCCTCTACTTACCGCCCAATACTCTTCCTTTGACATGCCTCTCATGTGCCCAAGATGGGCCAATCCATAAAGGGATGATTTCCCTGGATCCGGCAGGCGTTGCACAGGCAAATGGATGGCTTAAGGGCCCCATAAAGGGCACTGCTGCTCACGATATGAACACCATTGCCCAGCACAGAAATGCCCCTTTGTCCCTCTCTGTCCCACTGTCTACTTATCCAGGCAGTCTGGTGCTCAAAGGGAAGCGGTTTAAATGATTTTACAAATTCAATTCCACACCATTGTAGTCTTACACAGTTCCCTCTGCATGTCTGAGCATCCTGTGCCTTTACTTTGTCCTGTAATAGGCACGGAGGGGACAGGAAAAGCTCACAGCATGCGGGTCACCGTCATCTTCTCATTCTCTAGTCTCAGGCACCCTGTCACTCCCTCACTCGATTTCTGCACCACTCTGGTCGTGAGCTCACACCTCTTTCTCCCAGTCTTTCTATCTTGAGATACAAAGTGATAAGCTAAGGGCTTTAACTTAGCGAATCCATTTTTTTTTTTTTTCTTTCTCAGCTCTAACTCACCAGGTTAGAGCCTAGGCAGAAAGAAGAGAAACAAGTTGAACTCATCTTCAGGCAGCTAGGCACTGATAGCCAGTTAAACCGTCTCCCACAATGCCATCTATTGGGAGGCTTTATTGACAGATTTTTTTTCCTCATCTGTATGTGTGTGTGGCCTGCATGCACATGTGTTTGTACGTGCAAGGCACACGTGTGTAGGTGTGCGTGCACACGCGTGTGTGCATATGCATGTGGAAGATCAAGGTTAATGATCTGGTTCAGTTGCTCTCCACTCTATTCATTTAAGGCAGAATCTCTCAATTGAATGCAGAACTTGCTGGTTCTCCGTACACTGGCTAGCCAGCTCGCTCCAGGGATCCCGTCTCTGCCTTCCAGCTGCTGGGCCACCACCCCAACTCAGCATGTATGTAGGTTCTAGGGATCCAAACCCCTGTCCTCACACTTGTGTGACAGATGCTTTAACCTCTGAGCCATCTCATTAGCCTGGGAATCTGCTGTTAACGATAAAGAGGGGCTTATGAAATAGATAACGCAGGAGTTAAGGGCCCTTGCTGCCAAGTCTACCCGACGGGTTCAGTCCCTGGAGCCGACGTGCTGAAAGGAGTGAACCCACTCCTGTAACTTGTCCTCTGTGTGGCACAGCGTGTCCATGCACACCACACACACACACACACACACACACACACACACACACACACCACAGAAAATGAATGTAAAAAAACTTAAATACATCCTTTTCAGAGTCAATCAAGAGAAGCTTTGAGAGACAGATTTCAAGTGAATTGTCCTTCGTTCCCCTGGGTCGACTGAGAGATTTGGTGAATGAGAGGAAGGCTTTGATAGATGTTTATTAGCCGAGTGCTTTATGGAGTGTCAGGTATGGAAAGAGCTAAGATGTGATTACCTGTCTGCCGTACCCACAGCCCACGAGGAGGTCCAAGGCCAGAGTCTTTGTTCCTTTTAAAGTTTAGTCTACTTCTTTTTGTCCTATATTATTTCCAATCATTTTACTCCTTGGGTATATTTCCTGTTGGATGTTTAAGACTATGCCGTAGTAAAAAACAACCAGTTTTTATTGTTAAAGTCAGTTGAGGCTTTTTAGGGGTTATTCTTAGGGATGAAAGAGGAGCTTCTTAGTCTTCTTAGGAGACTGGCTTTTCAGTCTTTCCTCTATGAGCTGTGTCATCTACTGGGTTGAATCAGGGTCTTGCTGACCATGCGGCCTCCCTAAGAAGCCCTGAAGACATTTCCTTCTGTATCAACCTTCCTCTTGCCAACTGTTCATTGAAAGTCAACCTATGTATCTTCATAGCCTCTCCGTCTTCTAATCTGTAGTCAGACAAGTTATCCATTGCACCACTGGCCTGCCATAGCTTCTGTCACTCAAGAGGATAGGACAGTTGACTTACCAGAACTGTAGAACACTTTGAGGCATGTCCCGTTATGCCCCTAACCTTGGGGTAAGGACCAACATATTGACTGTCCTCTTAGCCTCTGTATACCTATTGGTGTTGGCCTCCATGTTTGCTTGTTGAACACACAGAGAGTCAGTTACACCAGTCTTGAAGGAAAGCTTGGGCATAGGAACAACTAATTGCCTTTTGATTTAGTTAATATTAAAGATTAAATTGCTTATCATTGGTTGTTCTCCTCAACATTTAACATAAGTTTCCCAGTGATATTGTGCATGGCCAAGTCAACCTCTTTCCCTCTAAAGCTTGGGAATTAAATTTATTCCACTATGCATCAAGAGGTGAATTACTAGTAGGAACAAGGTATGATTGCCTCTCTCAGATATGGCATCCATTTGTTTTCTATAAGGATCAAGGAGGAAACCCGAATTGCCAATTTTTTTTGGCCACAATGTGTCAGAGGTACATACATGGTCATAGGGGAATCCCTAAGTTCCTCTTATAACCCAATTAGTATATTAGGTAAAATTGTCTATCAAGAACAGAACCCCTTGTGGAGGTCTGATGTTATCTCTTTAGTCTGATGTAGAAAATACACTGACATCATCACACGGCAACAGAGATACCAGAAGATATAGTCACCCCTTCTTTGCTCAGTAGCACCTGAGTTAGGTTAGCACAGATGTAGCAGGAGCTAGCAGTGCATATGGAGAAGCATTGAAGCGTGCGGTCATAGGATCAGGAAAGTCCTGTAGCAGGCACAGAAGTTCGGTACCCAGAGAAGCTGTGGTCAGGAGCTAGGAGAGAAGGGAGGGGACTCCATACCTTACCACAATGCCACAACGAAGATGAAGATCTGATTGTAACCAGGAGCATCAAAGGATCCCACCTTGACCTCACTTGATCTCCTAGCTACCAGCTCTTGATTTGACAAGCAGCTGAAGCAAACACCACTCCATTTTATATAAAGGATGTGAGCATCCACGGACCTCAGTCTTCTTTGGGGAGGTCCTGGAACCAATCTTCTGCAGATAGTGAGGGGTGACTCTAAAGTCTTTTAAGAAACCCTAGCAAGTTACCTAACTCCTTCCACCATATGACTATCTGTGAGGAGATGAACCTTCACCAAGCTCCAAACATGCTGGCACCTTTATCTCAGACTGCCTGGTTTCCAGAGTCATCATTGTTTTTAATTTTTAAAATTAGATTTATTCACGTAATTTTGCCTGCATGTACCCTTCCTTGGTGCCTATGGAGGTAAGAAATTGAACTGCTTCTGGAACTGCAGTTACAGATGGAGATGAACCAACATGTGGGTGCTGGGAATCAAAATCTAGCAAAAAAAGAGCTCTTCACTGTTGAACCAGAGTGATGGATTTCTGTTGTAGCACCCCGGATTTACTGAGGCGACTCCTGCAGATGCTTGGGGTGACACGGAAGTTCCTGATGATCCCAGGGAGACCTCCATGATGGGCACCCCACTGGATAGCCTGCAAAGCCATCTATGGCAGTTTCCACACATCTGGAGCAGCAGTTCTCAGCCAGGGATGACGTAGCCCTGTCCAGAGACAGTTTGTGCTGTTGCATCTGGGAATCTACGAGGAGATGCTATTGTGCCAAGGGGGAACAATGTGAGGACAGCTGCACACAACAAAGGATGTTTCGTCACACACATCAGCGCTGCCAAGAATGAGCCCTAGGCTCAAAAACACAGAGTATTTTTAAGACCTGAGCAAGGGCTTCCAAGTTTTGCTTCATCCAACCTTTCCCTGGAGTGGAGAAGGGCCTTACAAGAGTTGAGGGCAAGTACTACAAGCCACACCCCTGCCTTCTCATTGGCAGGTAAGGGGGGGCAGGCATACTGCAAAGCCCCTAAACACACTGTTGCTTGAACAGAGTAGAGGTGGGTAGGGTGCTTGCCTTTGTTCACTGAGCCTTAAGAAACCTGGCCCATCTCTGAGCCTTGATGCTGAGTCATGAAGGAACATAGGCGTCTGAGCCATATTTTATGCCTTTACCTACTTAGAACCACTAAATCAGTCCATAGTGTGGCTCCTCTTTAATCCTGGGCTGGTAGAGTCTCCATGTATGAGGCCTAGGGCAGGCTAGAAGAGCCAAAGCATGGCCTCCAGAGGTGTTGGGAAGGGACCACGGACAAGTCAATCCTCCCTTCTTCAGTCATCTTTTCAGTCCCAGGTTGGTCTCACAGCAAAGGATGCAGGTCCGGGAGCACTCAGACCCACAGCCTCATCGGCTTGGGGCACAGGACTCACAGTGGGTCCAATCCTAGCTCTGGGCAAAGCTGCCTCAGTATCCTGAAGCCTTCCCAGCCTTCCTTGGATCAGATGCGGCGTAGACACAGGGACCTTCCTGGAACACAGCTTGGACCACATTCAAGAAAAACAGCCGTGGGCTCTTGCTCTGGCCCCGGTCCTGCAGCTCCTTCTGCACCTCCTGAGGAAGAAAGAAGGAACATTCATAGAGAAGGCAGCTCAAGTGCCCCCAGTACATAAGGGGGTAGCTGACAAAAAAAAAAAAAAAAAACAAAAAAAAAAACAGGAAAACATACCTAAAAAAGATGGGACTGCGGGGAAGGGGGGCTGAGGACCCTGGCAGGGAAAGACTGTGGGCAGGAACTGGTCCCAGAGCATGGAGTTTCCAGCTTAAACATATCAGAGGGACATAAGAGAGTACAGGGACTATGCAAGGACAGTGCATCTCAAAGCAACCACCCATCAAGAACCAAGTATACTCTGTTCTTGGCTCCAATTCCCTGTGGATCCACAGGGCAAATCTGAGGTGATCTAGGTAGGAGCTACCATAGAGAAGGCAGCTTTAGAAGACCTGGGCTAAGTGGCCACAATTTTGAACCTCTTCAAAGAAACACCCTTTGGAGTCCACTGATGTCCTGGGACATTGAGGAGGATGAAGTACTGGCTACGAGGTATCCAGGCCCACCAACTTGAGTACTGCCAAACCAGGACAATAGCAACACAGAGACAAGAACTGAAGAGCTAAGCCATTGAATGCTCACCAGTCAAACTCCTGGGGGCCTTTAACTTCAGGGCTGAAAAGGGGGGTGTCTAGGAGGACCCAAGGCTACTGATCCTGTTTGTCCAGAGTACCCACGTGTTGTGCTATGCTCACTTCAACAACACATATGCTAAAATTGAACACTACAGAAAGATTAACACGGCCCTCGCTCAAGGATGACTTGTAAACTCATGAAGCATTCCGTGTGTGTGTGTGTGTGTGTGTGTGTGTGTGTGTAGATAGACATAAAGGAACACTCATCTATCAAGCCAGGCATGGTGGTGCGTACCTGCAATCCAACACTTGGGGGAGCAGAGGGAGGGGTTGAAGATTTGAGATCAGCCTAGGCTACATAGAAAGCCTGAGGCTAGCCTGAGCAAAATTCTGTCTCAAAAGCAAACAAGCTTGCATGAATCCAAGAAAAGTAGAACCCCCGAAAGAAGTATTGGCAGACACTCAGGACGTGGGGCCCTAATTGCTCAGGTGTAAAACACTAAATCTGTGAACTTGGAGGTAGAAAGGCCCTAGCCCTGAAGTTCTAATTTCTAAGATGTTAAGGATTTTTATATCCTTGGGGGTATGAACCCCCTGACTACTGCCCTTTATCATGTTATAAGGGAGCAAAAATCCTAAGAACTGCATTTCTTCAGCCCCACACTTCCATATGCTATTTTGGATTAATGGACCAAGAATTTTGTCCGCTATGGTCTGATATGCCACAGACGTCCAGGTATGGCAACATCTCTGCAGTCCTTATAATCAGGTGACATTAAGTGACTTGAGCCACTGGCAAGGTAAGATTTGGAGCCACGCCCTAGGACTCTTAAGTTTTTCTGTTTACTGTATGAATGGCCCAAGGGCCTTGGCATTAAAGGCTGAGGTCCTTAGTGCTAAAGCCAAAGTTAAACTTTCAATCCTCGGAGGCTCCATTTCTCAGAATTTAGTGGCCAAACTCCAAGCCCTTCCTCTCCTTGGTGGTGGCTTTTGCTTTTGAGGGTCCTTGGATACTTGAGGTCTCTAAGCCAGGACTTATGAGGTTCTCCCTGGGTCTGTGTAACTGACATCTAATGCCCCAAGGGAGCCGACAATCTTGGCTTCACAGGGCACTGGATTTCATTAATCCCAGTTCCCAGACCACATGTCATCTTCTCAATTCTCAAAGATTCCCAGAGTGCCAAGTCTTAAGAATTAATATTCCCTGAGAACAGATCTTCAGTTGTCAAGAGTCAAAGCTCAAGGCCCAAGGGCTGAAAAGAACATGTCTTGGATCTTGCATCCTCTAGACATTAGTTTCTTGGGTCTGGCGCTTGAGAGAACATCTCAGGTCCCTGGAAGAACCCAGCACAGATGCAAAAATGCCAAGAATCTGAGTCCAAGGAGCTAAGCCCTGATCCTCAGGATCTGAACAACAAGTGCTCAACACTACAGATGTTGTTCAATTTCTGATGGGGTGACATGCCCCAATAAATCCATCACAATTTGAAAATATTGCAAGTCAAAATGTATTTACATATTTAATATATCTGACCTGAAGAGATGGCTCAGTACTTAAGAGCACTTGTTGCTTTTGCAGAGGACCTGGGTTAGACTCTCAGCACCTGCATGGTGGGTGGCTCATAAGCCTGATTCCAGTTCCAGGGACTCCAGTGCCCTTCCAGAGATCCATGAACACCAGCCATGGACATGGTTCACATACAGACACGCAGGCAAAACACTTGTGCACATAAAATAAATCTTTTTAAATATCAAGTACCCTGGGGCTGGAGAAGATGGCTGAGTGGTTAAGAGCACTGGCTGCTCTTCCAGAGGACCTGTGTTCAATTCCCAGCAGCCACATGGCAGCTCACAACTATCTGTAACTCCATTTCTAGGGGATCTGACACCCTCACACCAATGCACATAAAGTAAATTTTAAAAAAATCAAATACATCTAACCATCATGGCCTGATTTAATGGGCTGAGCACTCACTTTGGCCTACAGTGCCATCTAAGACAAAGATTATAATAAAGTGTTGAACATCTCACATGTAATATACTGAGTATTGCCCTGAAGTTCTAACACAGAATGGTTATGTGAGTGATCACCACTGATGTATAATGGACATTCAATGGTTTCCACTGAATACATGTAACTTTTCTTGTCTTTTGTAGTGCTGGGAGCTTGTGCATACCTTACTGCTGAGCTACATCCCAGCCCTACACATATGGCCTTTATACCATTAGAAAGTTGAACAATTCACGAGTCAAACTATTATGAGCTGAGGACCATCTGTTAATGCCCCTTTTACTAAACACCTCCTAGTCTAAGGGTTTTTAGAATTCTAAGGGGCCCTGGAAGATGGCCTTGGGAACCAAAATCTTGAAACACAGGTAGTTGAAATGATCCTGAACACAAAGTTTGTGGCCTCTAAAAGCTACTGGTTGTTTTGAAGATTTATTTTTTAATAAATTAATTAGGTTTTTCAAGGCAAGGTTTCTTTATATAACAGTCCTGACTGTCCTGGAACTCACTCTGTAGACCAGATTGGCCTCGAACTCACTAAGATCTGCCTCGTAAGTGCTGGGATTAAAGGTGAGTACCACCACTGCCCAGCTATTTATTTATTTATTTATTTATTTATTTATCTATTTATTTATTTATTTATTAAGTCTTTTAAAAAAGATTTTATTATTTATTATGTTTACAGTCTTCTGCCTGCATGCAGATCTCATTCAAGGAGGTCGTGAGCCACCATGTGGTTGCTGGGAATTGAACTCAGGACCTCTGGAAGAACAGTCAGTGCTCTTAACCTCTGAGCCATCTCTCCAGCCCTTTAAATATATATATATATATATACATATATATATATATTATTTATTTTTAAAACATTTATCTACTCGTGTGTGTGTGTGTGTGTGTGTGTGTGTGTGTGTGTGTGTGTGTGTAAGCTGCCCTGTGGGTGCTGAGAACCACTGAGCAAGTACCCTTAACCAAGTATTCTGAGCCATCTCTCCAGCCCCAAAGCTGCTAATCTTTGTATGTGCTCTACACAGAGCATCCAATTAGCTTCAGAAAACTCCCAGAAAGCTAAGTTCCTAGGGAGCAAGGTGGTAGCCAGTAAAGGGACTTCAGTCCCTAAGTCTGCTCCCGGGGAGTTGCAGACCTCCAACACTCCAGAACAAAACCCCACAGGAAAAGTAAGCTCTTTCACAAATAAGCTCTCAAATGTGAGTTTCAAACTACACATGAGAATAAAGCACCAGGAAGGAGAGTCTAACTACCATACCCAGAAAAGCTAGCTTCCTGGAAATGGTAAACACAGAACAAGATTTTGAAGGCCTGGGAGAAGCTCAGGCAACAGCCCGTTCTCTGACTTGGATGCCGTGGGACAAACCTATTGTCTTCCCCATTGAGCTCCTCAACTCCTCGTGGTCCCTGAAGGTGAAGTGTACCTCCCTGGCACAGGAAGTTACTGAATTCTTTACAGGGAATAGGGAGAAACATGGGCTTCAGGGGGGCGGGTGGGACCTCAGCCTCACCTGGTTCAACTTGGGTTCATACTCCACCTGGCCCTGGCTATTGACATGTAGGATGGGGGATGCAATGGCTTCTGTCAGGTCAAAGCCAAGCCACAGCTTATTCATGATGGTCTGGAAAAATAAGAGGGAACAGGGAGACACTGGCCATCCTGCCACCACACTCCCATCCCCACCGCAGGGAGTTTACCAGAGAGGAAACTCTCTTGCCAGGGACCCTCAGACTCACCTGGATCACAGCAGAGATGATGAGTTCCCCTCCAGCTCCACCAATCACCAGCTTGGATCCCTGGGCCTTGTTGACCAAGATGGAGGGTACCATACAAGATGGTGGCCGCTCACCTGGAACTGGGGTCACCAAGCATCACCCACACCCCCTAGGAGTACCACCCACTCCCCTTCATGCATTGTTCATTGTTTCATGATGGGCGTGACTCATCCAGGGGTTAGCTGCCCACCCCCCCCTTTCTGTCTCCAAGGGATGCTGGGCAGGAGAGGTCTTGCTCTCACCAGGTGGAGGAGTAGCAGTTGAACCAGGTGCGTGCCTCCAGCACAAGTCCAGTAGCTCGTTGTTAAGGAGAATACCTGTCCGAGGTGAGTACACCATCGCTCCAAAGCTGTAGATAGGTAAGGTGGAGTCTGAACTTGGGGCCTTGGCTCCCAACAACCCAGGACTGCAACCTCTCTGGATCCTTTACTATAGTGCCTTCCAGCACACCAGAGCCCAGGACCACCCACGGACCCCAAAGATCCCCTGTGGCCCCATCAGGACACTTTTTGTTTTTAGTAAGGCCCATCCCAGACAGGACCTGGCTCAGGGAGACCTAGCAATAGCTTTTCTCCTCCAGGGACGTCCCTGGTGCCAGAGGGAAAAGATGCTATTTGCTTAGGCACTAACAAGGGGAGGTCAGAGGGTGTAGACCAAACTGGGGCAAAGGAGACTTTGATGTCAGGAGCAAAGGGAAGGAACCTACCCACCTGCTCTGAGCCCTGTCCACCACCCCCCCCCTTGCCAGGTCCTACACACGGTGTGTTGATGGTGCTGGTAGCCGCCACAGCACTGCCATCCTCTCCCAACACAGACACATGAGAGGTGCCCATCCTGATGCCCCTGACCCCGGTCAGGTTGTAGTGGCTGAGCTGGTGGTCACCGCGGCCATCGATCTGCTGGCGGACGTGCTGGGCTAGAGCCTCCCCCAGAAGGTCCTGGGAGGTGTTCTGGGGTGAGAAGTCAGACAGCAAATTAGTGAGGAGCCAGGTGGGGTCCTCAGAGCAAATGGTCAGATGAGCTCATTAGCCCCAGAAGACCCTTTCTCTGGTCTGTCGTAGAAGGGCCTTCCTTGAGCCCATGCTAAGCCCAGATCCTACGGGATACAGCTACCACCTCAGGGTCCCTTCCAGCCGTCGGGACCACTGCCAAGATATCCCTGCCTAGAACTACAAAGAAATTCCTCCACCTTCCCACAGCCAGTCCTGACCCATGCTGTATTCTAGGGAAGGGGTGGGAGAGGACACCATGGGGCCCAGGGAGTCTTACCTGTGTCCCTGGGTGACTGGAAGGGTCCCTTAGCCGCCACCTCTGCCCTACTGTGAACTTGAGTGTCTCTACAAGGTGATGGTACATGTTCCCTTTCCCCTCAGGCCGGGCCACTGTCTCTGCAGAGAAGTTGAACCCTGGGGAGATAATGAGGGCACAGGGGTATTACTTTATGTAGTGGGGTAGATGTTGGCCCCCAAAAGGATTGGCTCATTTCTTTATCCCCCAGAATCCATGAATATTGGTTTATATAGCACAAGAATTAATATCACATTATATGGCAAAATATGTTAAGGATTTTTAAGAGGAAGTGTTTACCTTGGATTGTGTAGATTATGTAGGTTAGCCCTAAATGTGACGATCAAGTGTGTCTATTTTTCTTTTTCAAGACAGGGTTTTTCTGTGTAGCCCTGGCTGTCCTGAAATTCTCTGTTAACCAGGTTGGCCTCAAATTCAGAGATCCAAACTCAAGAGTTCTGACTACCTCTGCCTCCCGAGTACCTGGATAAAAGGCGTGCACCACCACACAGGGCCACATGCATCTTTTAACTCAGACACACAGAGGAGAAGAGACATCCCCGCTTGTCTGAGGTCTCACTTTCCACAATTTCAATTACCTGCAGTCAATCATAGTTTGAAAATATTAAATGGAAAGTTCCAAAATAAACAACTCATCAATTGTGAGTGTCCCTCTGAGTAGCACGGTTATACCTTGTGCCGTCTTGCTCCATCCATCACACCAAGGACGTGAGCCAGCCCATTGTCTAATGGATCCATACAGCATATGTTGCCTGCTCATTAATCACTCATTAATACCCGCCCTAGCACTGAGACAGGTACCCTGAACCTCACACATGCTAGACATGAACTCTACCAATGAGCTCTCAGGCCTTATTAACCACCTCTATGACCTGATCAACTGTCACCATGCTGAAGGGCTTATGTCAAGATGCCACCCATGTTCGTGAATAATGGCCCCAGTGCACACTTGTGGGCTTGGTTCTGAGCTTGGCACTGCTGGGGAGTAGCGGGAGACTTTAAGTGGTGGAACCCGGTAGGATGGTTAGGTCATGTGCTCAGATGGGGCTTGTATTCTCTCCTTTCTTTTCTTTATTTCCTAGCAGCCTTGAGGCTAGAGGATCACTGAAAATTCTTGTTCTACCACATGTCCCTGCCATGATGTGCTGCCTGGCCACAGGCCCCAAAGCCCCAACCGAACAGACAGAAATTGCAAACCTGTGAGACAAAATAAACTGTTTCTCTTTAAAAGCACGTTTTTAATCCCACCTATATGTTATCATAACGGAAAGCTAACCAACGATGGTGATGCTGGTGATTTGCCTGTGCCAAAGAGAAGCCACAGAGTGCTTCCTGTAGTTGAAAAGGCTGGGGCTTGCTGTCCCTAGTTTATAATGAAACTTTATCACAAGTATAGCCACAGGAAAACATGTAGCATGTCTATGACTTTGTACCATCTGAAACAATGAGGGCGGAGCCTGGAGTGATGCAGCCAAAGGCAAGGAAAGCTGGCAGATTCTCCCCAGGAGGCTCCAGAGGGAACCAGTCTTGTGCATAACCTGCTATGTGACTGTTAGCTTCTGGAACTGTGAGACCTCAGTAGTCACTGCAGGCTATGACTCCCTGAGCTGTGTGTCAGCCCCGAGGGTACACACCTGACATGCAGCACACTACCCACAGAGCCTTCTACTCCTGTGCCCTAAGACTGGGTCATGCATGTAGGAAAAGGATGCCATTTCCTTCGGCACAATACGGGCCTGTTCCTGTGAGAGACTAACTCTAAAGCATACCATTCTGACCACTGTCCATAGCCCTGGACAGTCTTGGATATCATGCATCTGTTAAAAAGATCATATGCTGTCATGGGAATGTCTTGGGTGTCCCAGAGGGTCCACTGGGATTGGAGCCTTGATCCCCATACTGTTTCCATTAGGAGGTGGCTCAACCTTTAAGAGATAGGATCTGAGAAGTCTTTAGGTCACAGGGAGTTTGCAGTTGGGATGGTGGTCCACATGTGACTCTGGTAGTTCCTACAAAGAGGGTTGATATGGAAGGAGCCATGCCTGGTAAACCGGTACTCTACCATTGAGCTAAACTCCCAGTGCTAACTTTTCTTGATAGGTAGCCGTGCCAGCATTATATTATAGTGGCAGAAAGCTAATGTGTCCCCCCAAAGTCGGGGATGAGCTGGGAGCTCAGGCCCCATGCGGGACAGAGCTGGAGGAGAGAGAGGAGGCCTGAGAAGATCTTACCTTTCAGCACATTGAGAATGAAGCTAAGAAGAGCACCCCCTGCAGGTGGTGGTGGTGAGTACAGGGTGTAGTTTCCTAGGGGCATTTCCAGGGGAGCCACCACTTCAGGCTGGAAGGCGGCCAAGTCTTGAACTGTCAGCTGGCTTCCTGGAGAGGGACCGTAAGAGCTCCAGGTACAGATGGGGATTGCCAAAGAGCAAGAGAGACTTGCCACTCATCTCAGGACACCAAAGAAGTTCCTCTTGCCTGCAAGTGGCATAGTCCCAGGGGGGTGAGGGTGATTGCATGGGCAGCGGTATAGGGTGGACAGGTGGAGAGCAGAGGGAGACAAGGGGAGATAGGAAGAGAAAAATAGCCAACTCAGTCCCCCACGCCTGCCATGGCCTCTTTACAGGCAGACTTGCAAAAAGCTCCACCACTCGAGGTTCTTAGCCACAGAGACCCCAAAGGCTAGCAATGGCTAGGCTGGATTAGATGGGTACCTGGCCTCTCCCAAATCCCATGAGTACCCAGTAGTTCTGGGGAAAGGTGTGACTTTAATCCCCAACGCCCAGAACTCGGCTTTTTCTCTAACTGGGCTGGGTGTTGGAGTGTCAGCGCAGCTAACCTTCCTTGGCAATGTCCTCCACCAGCATATGGCCCAGTCTCCCTGTGTATAAGGCCTCTGGACCCTCCGTGGCCACAGTCTCCAGGGTGTTGGCCAGTGCGGGCCATGGAAATGGGTCCTGAGATCTCAAGGTTTCTGTCCCATTGAAGAAGAGCTGTCTGGGTGGAGGGGGTTGGGTAGGAGGCAGCTTCAGACTGATGCCAGATTCCAGCGGAACACTCACATTCCTCTGGGTTCTAGAGAAATCTTCAGGATTCTTCCCGGGGGAACAGCCATGGCCCCAGTACTGAAGCACTGGGGAATTTGCTCTCTAGAAATTCCCCAGTGAGGGCTGGTGCCACCACCCTCACTCCGGGCCCTGGAACCTTTCTGGTGTGTAGGTCTCCCAGGGTCACTTTGTCACCTACTGGGAGGACCAATTGCTGAACTAGCCGAGTAAGCAAAATGAGTCAGCCAAAAACTGTCTGCCACTCTCAAAGAGAAGCAAAGGGAAGCCAGAGCTGAAGGGATAAAATGTCCTTAACCTAAGTTAGGTTCTGACTGGAAAAAAAAAAACAACAAAAAAACAAAAAAAAACCTGGCTACCCTGGCTATAAGGGTTTTGGTGCCTCAGGGTCAACCCTCCAGATGAGGAGTGACTGAGGTACAGCTGGGCAGTGACCCGCACCCAGGTAGGATATAGATTTGAGGGCTCCCCCACAGTGCTCACCTCAGGGTTGATGAATACAAGGAAGGCCGCAGGAAGCTGTTGTTGAGGAACTGGCTGAGGACAGAGGGCACACGGAAACCCTCCCGGAGCAGAGCGATGGTGGGCTGGAAAAGCTGAGCCCAAGGCAGGCGGCCGTGTCGGCGGTGGGCCTCAGCATAGCCACGGAGCTCCCCAGGAACCCCAATCCACTGGACCCCTGCATAATATGCACCTGTCCTCAGGACCACCTTCTCATCCCAACCTGCTCTCCCAGCTTCTGGAGTCCATGCAGAGACCTCTTGTGGCTCCCAGTTGCCTTCCATATAAAGTCCACATAAAAAGACCACCAGGCACTGAATCATTGCAACAGACAGAACCAGGCCCAGGTTCACACTGCCCCGCCCTGCCCTGCCCCGCCCAGAGTGCCTGCTCTGCCTTCAAATAAACTGGACGCAGGATCCATGGCCCACCAACCCAGATTCATTCCCAAGACTGGTCTTCCCCTTGGAACACCCCCTTCCTCAGAGTCTCCCCCCAAAAGAAGCTTTCTAACCCACCCAAGAAGGTCAGGGGTCCACAGTCTCCCATGTTCAGAGGCCGTGTCCAATGTCACAGCCTGTTCATGAGTCATACCGACTCTTTGAGGTGTGTGTGGGGGGTGTTCTGGACAGGCCAATATCAGAGGGAGTTAGGTTGTCTGAAGAACCCTTCCAAAGGCCTTACCTGTCCCCAGTGGCCGGGCTTTTTTACACTGGTCTAGAAGGCCCTGGACATGGCTGGCTGGCACTGTCTCCCGAGCATTGATGACTTCCACCTTCCCTGGAATTGAGGCAGGGTGAGAGATGACTCCAACTTGCTCTAGATCTTGGTTTCCATCTCTGTGCTCACCCTTAAAACACTACCTATCACCAGGGCTTTACACGATAGAGGTAAAGGCAGGGCAGAATCCCAAGAGTACCAAGGAAGAAGAACGCAGGAAGGCCCAAGAAATGAGTGCCCCAGGACTGAAGGTAAGTCTGTCTCCCCCAGGGGGCCCACCTGTTGTTGCATTGTAGATGGTAAAGATGACCCCTCCGCCCAGGCCCATGCTCTGTGGGTTAACGACACCAGTGCAGATCAAGGCTGCGATGGCGGCATCTGTAGGTGAACCCTGCTGCTGGAGGATGGCTCTAGGGGACATAACACAGAATCAATTGCAGGGTCTTAGCCCAACCACAGAAGGCTGAGCTGGATCAGAGTAAGGGTAAGTGCGCTGCTCACCCATTCCCCAGCCTCCCAGGACCTTGGAGACAATCAGATGCAGTAGGGAGTGTAGTCAAGCAGGAACTCATTTATTACCACACACAGCAAGCATCTTTTAAAGCAAAAAACTGCAGGGTGGGGAAACAGTCAGCCAATGGTTTTAAAGGTCAGCCTATCATGTGCCTAGGCACCCTATGCTTTACCTAGTGAACACGAGTTATTCATTCAGTGACCTCATCTGGTTTGATCTAGGCAACCAAGCATCCTTTTTTTTGTAAACAACTCAGGACTCGCCCATCTGACTTTTCCTCAGCACCATCTTTGACTGGCTCATGTGCCCTACATCGATAATCTGGCTTCCCTACCCCATCTCTTCCAGAGCTCATGTGACTGGCATTTACTGGGAAACAGTGACGGGTTGATGGTCTATCTGTTGGCACAAAACACCAAGTTAGGTGAGAAAACACACTGAGCAGCCCCCACAAATCCAGCTACTCATCGGTCCATCATCACACCCAATAGATTGCAAAGTAGGATGGCATTTATGCTTCCCCGTGCCATATATAAGGTGGTTCTCAGTTTTCAAATGATTCTGCTACCATCGTCCTTCAGAGCTCCCAGAAACACTGGCTCATTGCAACAGGCAGAACCTGGCCTAGGCCACACCCCTGTAGCCCATTCTGAGTCTCCACCGCCTAAGCTGGCCTTTGGCGGGTGACCCCAGGATCCTGACACCAGGGTCCAGTACTTGGATTGGTGAGCCCTACATCTTCTTCTTTATCCTCAAGCTTATGACAGTGCACTTGGGTTTCAGCTTCCTCATCTGTCCAAGGTCCCAGGGGCAGGTCCTTCAACTCCAAAATGTTGGTGAGACTGGCCTATGTCACAGTGGCTACTGTACCAGGAAGTACAGCCTACACAGCTCATCAAGCTCGCCTTTCCTTCATGCCTAGAGACCCTCCCCAGCACCTCTAGGATTACCGTTTGACCTCCAGGTACCACAAAGAACTTAAGGACCACAAGAGTAAAACCTTGGTCTCCTTCCACAGTTACATGGGACCTCTGACCTCATACTTTCCCTTGACTCTTTATCTGTGACCCAACCAGTCCTTCCTGGACTCACTGCTGTTCCTTAACCTCAATGTCAGTATACATGGGAACCCCATCCCCATACATGTAATCTTGAATGGAAAGAGACAAGAGGCATGCATGAAACAAAACTGTTAGATTCAGGCATAAGTACAATTTTTTAAAAGATTTATTTATTTAGTGTGTGTGTATGTGTGTGTGTGTGTTCTGTGTGGAGGCCAGAAGAAGGTGTTGGATCCCCTGAAGCTAGAGTTACAAGTGGATGTGGAAACCCGGACATAGGTGCTGGGAGCAGATCTTGGGTCCTCTGCTAGAGCACCAAGTGCTCTTGACCACTGACCCATCTCTCCAGCCCCGTAAGTACAAAGTCTTAGCAATAAAACATCTACACAGTCCATCAGAGACAAGGCAGCAGCCAAACCTGTCGTCTGCTGCGTCCCACTGCACACACGCCCTTTCTGCTCTCAGCGCCTTTGATTCCCATCTTGTGTTTTCCTTTACCTCCCTGACCTCCTAATGTTGAGTCCTTGGTTCATATTTGAGCTCATCCATGAAATGCAAACTACACTTACGATTTCTGAATTTAATTTCTATACCAGTCCTTGTAACAGGCTTTCTTTTGGGCCACCAACCAGATCCCAAAATCATAACACAGAGAATTATTATTAGTTTTAAATGCTCGGTCTTAGTTTAGCTCTTATTTCATTCTGTTTTTATGTTTTGCCTTGGGGCTTCCTTCCTTCCTTTCTCTCTTCCTTTGGTTCTTTTTTCCTTTCTTTCCCTTCCTGCCTGCCTGCCTGCCTGCCTGCCTTTCTGTATCTCTTACTTTCACTGCTTCTCATGTCTGTCTGGCAGGCCTGGCTTCTGCCCCATGGCATGTCTCTCTCTTTCTCCCTCGTTCTCTTCACTCCTCTCTTCTCTTTTTTCGAGCCTAGATTTCTCCTACTTATTCTCTCTGCCTGCCAGCCCTGCCTATTCCTCTCCAGGCAGGTAAGGAGAAACAAATGCCACACATCTTTACATAATTAAACAAATGTAACAAATCTTTACATCATTAACAAAGGCAGCACAAACAAATGTAACACACCTTCACATAGTTAAATATTCCTCATCATAAACAAATGTAACACACCTTCACATAGTTAAATATTCCTCAGCATAAACAAATGTAACACACCTTCACATAGTTAAAGTAGTATTCTGTGGCATAAACAAATATAACACATCTTTGCCTAGTTACAATCTGCCTGCCTCTGCCTTCCAAGTGTTGGGATTAAAGGCGTGTGCCACCACCACCAGGCTTAAAGCACTTTTTTAGTATCCATTCAGTTACCTTCTTTTTCCTTTAATCTTTTGAGGTAGATTTTCACATCAGACTGGATATATAAAAAGATGACTTTGAATTCCTGATTCCCCTGCCTCTACCTCCAGAGTGCTGGAATACAGACATCTGTTACATACCCGACTAATTTAGCCATTTATTAAAAAATTTTAAAAATTTATATACCAAGATGGATATGCTTATTTATTTTACATAATGAACTAAACATCTGATTGATAATTAATTTATGCTGCTAGAGAGACCATCTTCAAGATTTTTCATTTGATAGATAACTGGACTTTATCACCATCAATACTGAGAAGGCCATTTGCATAAATAATGTCCATGAGATGGTCGAATCGTATCTAGGGACATCTCAGAAAGGTTTGGAAGTTCTCATCACAAGATGAGATTCATTTAACTTTTTTTTAATGCTCAAGTCAGCAATTGAAATGATAACTTTTAAAAATCAAACATTTCCATACAATATAATGCAAACGCACTAGCTGGATACCTATGTGCTGAGGAACGATGGTAGGAAGATAATAAATGCCTTTAAAAGCGTTGTTTCTGTAAGAGCAGAACACTTAGTATGCACAGTAAAACCACTGCAGCTCACAACATACAACAGATGGGCACCTGTGTTTTAGGGCAAGATGGCCTTGCACAAAACCAGGGCTGCAGGAGATAGCAACATGCTACACCAGTGATCCAGGAATACCTTGGATTTAGGACACATTTAATTTTGAAATAATTTTTGGTCATTCATTCAGAAACCTTTTACAGTTGCCACTGGTGGGGCGGGGGGATACCCTACACTGAGTTACTCACCCCATATGCACAATTTAAGAAGCCGGGCCCTGCAACATCAGTATAAAATCTAAAATGCTTAAAACCCAAATGACGTGTTGGGGAGTTTGCCTATCATTCCAGTGTTCAGAGGCTGAAGCAGGATCACTATGATTTCAAGATCAGCTGGGTTACATAGAGAGTACCAGGCCAGCCAGGGCTACCTGGAAAAACTCTGCCAAAACACATCAAAACAAACAAAAACCATCCAAACAAGCTACAACTCAAAACTGGATAAGGCATGGTATGATGCGTTCCTTTAATACCTGTACTTGGAGCCTGGCCTTTAAAGGTGGCACACACCTTTAATCCCAGCACTTGGGAGACAGAGGCAGGAGGATCTTTGAGTTCGAGGCCAGCCTGGTCCACATAGCAAGACTCAGGCCAACAAGAGCTACATAGTGATCAAAAACCAACAACCCACTAAAACACAGAAGCTCAGTGTAATGATACAAGCCTGTGATCCCAGCATCCAGTGGGCTGAGGCAGGAGGATCACAAATTAGAGGCCAGCCTGGTCCACATAGCAAATAAGACAACATAGTAGACCTTGTGTCAAAAACAAGCAAAAGCAGAATACTATAACACACAGACGCACGTATGTATACACACATTCAGAATCACAGAAATAATAGTATTTAGTTATTCTCCAGGTCCTTGGGAAAGAGCAGAAGTACTAACGAATGCTCAGCTTTGACCATGATGCATGCTTGCAATCTCTGAAAAACAAAACCCTATTGCATTAAATGTCTGCAAAGGTCCATATATGATAGGCTGAGTCCTTGATGGTGGCACAATTGGGGCACAGCAGGATTTTTTTTTTTTCAGGACAGAGTTTCTCTGTGTAGACCTAGCTGTCCTGGAACTAACTCCTGTAGACTAGGCTGGCCTTGAACTCACATAGATTCATGTGCCTCTGCCTCCTGAGTGCTGGGATTAAAGGCGTGCACCACCACCACCTGGCCAAAGTAGGAATTTTAACAGGTAGGTTCTAGTGGGAGATTTTAGATCAAAGGAGAGTGTGCCTTCCAAGGAGACTGTGGGGCCTTCCTCTCCTCCCTTCTCTCACTCTCTGTTCCACTTTCTGGCCGTGAGGTGAGCAGTTGTGCTCTCTCCCACACTCTGCCCTGATGCGTTGTTTCCTCACAGGTCAACTGGGCCAACCAGTCATGGGCTGAAACTGACAAACTGAGTAAACTTGTTTTCTTTACAAACTGCTTATCTCGGGTAATTTTTATAGTATTGGAAACCTGACTGGCATGATAAGCTACCATGACTGTGAAGGAAGGGGACTCAGGTTACTCAGGCAGGCCTTGTATCTTTGTATGTAGTGCACACAGAATAAAAATTTTACAGTAGGGGGAAAATCATAGACCAGGCTAGCCTTGAACTCACAGCGATCTGCCTGATTCTGCCTCCTGAGTGCTTGGATTAAGGATGTATACCACCACTGGCACTAATGGATTTCCTTTAACATGGTGACTAAGAGCTGGAGAGATGGCTCAGCTAGCCAACCAGGGATACAAAATAACTGAAAATATATGCACAATACATACATGAATACCATCCTTGGTTAGCTCTGGACTGCAGGCTGGTCAAAGGAATATGCAAATTGATGCAGAGACACCCTGGGCGTGGCTGTGGATAGGAGTGTTCTCCAAGACTGATG